GGTCCCACAGGTCGGATGGAGATGGAGAAAGGTGCCTTTGGGGCCCACAAGTTGGATGGAGAAGGGTCCACAAGCACAAGTGACATATAAGCCGTCGGGTCCCACAGGTCGGATAGATATGGAGACATGCCCCACAGGTTCGGGTCACATAGGTCGGATGGAGAAAGGGTCCCACAGGTACACATCGTATGGAGAAAGGATCGAGCGGAGACTTTTATGATGAACCGCAAGCGTCACAGATGAGTAATTGTGGGTCCCATAGGTACACATCGGATGGAGAAGGTACCGTGTGGAGATCTATGACGAAGCGCCATCGTTACTCATTACAGATCGAATATTGTTCATCATAGATGAGTAATGAATTCAATGACGAAGCCCTGTTCATCATAGTTCTGAATAAGATCGTCACAGACGAGCAGAAACAGTCGCGCGAGTGATCTATGATGAAATGTTGTGCTATTCTGTGACGTTTTTTTGTGATGATACCCGATTTCGTCATAGATAAGGGGGGTTCGAGGTTCGTCACGGTGATCTATGATGAAACCGAAAATTTCATCATAAAAAGCGATTTTTATGACGGTTTCAGATTCGTCATTAAAAATTTTATCATAGAAGTGGATATCCTAGTAGTGTAAAGTTTTCCTAGGTGTTGTTATCTCTACCGTAAAAGAGTTATCCAACCTAGGTTCCAATCCTATTGAAGCCTATCTACTAAGGTAGGAAGGTAAAGCACACAACCAAGGTATACAATGTAAAAGCAGAACGTAAAGGGCGATAGAGATGCAAACTCTCATTCAACGATGCCGGTATTTTTACCGAGGTATCGAGAAGCATACAAGCTTTCCTCTAGTCCTCATTGAGCCCCTCGCAAGGAAGCCCTCGCAAGGGCCAAGCTACCAGTCGGGTAACTTCGTGAATAGCCCCGGGCCTTTCCCATGTGCAAGTGGGTCTTGGGATAGCCTCTCCCATACCCCTCCGCACCGTCTTCACTATTGAGCTTTTGGCCAAACCACTGCGGGCCTCGTTCCCTCCGGTACACGGTGACAGCCACACCACAAATGTGGTTGGTGTGGTCTCGCAAGACTACAAGCCCCTCTGAGTACAAAAGTGCGTGCAGGCACCTTATGAGCAAGCGCTAATGTGGTGGTCTAACTAACCTAAGCACTTGGTAAATCACCTATGCTAATCACTGAGTATATCACTAAGCACTTTGGTTGCTAGAACAACTAGAGATGAGCCTCAACTCACACAAGTATTCCTTGAGCTCTACACCCTCTAAATGGTTGGCCAAGGGGCTATATATAGCCCCCAACTCCAAAGGTAGTTGTTGGGCTGCACAGCAGCTTTTTGCGCAGGAATCGGACATGTTCGATGCGTGTCCACGTCAGCTAGCCATATATTAGGACTTAGTCGTTGCCAACCGTTGGAGACTATAGTAGGCTGGTACTATGTCCAATGCAAACCGGACATGTCTGGTGCCATATTGACGCCTCCAACCATTGCTACAACCTCTTTGGAACCCCTGTCCAGTGCTTCAATGGACACGCCCGGTGAATGCGTGTGGCCGACATCCTGTGCACACATTGGCGTCCGGTGTGCTCTAGCTGCTTGCACTGAACACGTGTGGTGCTGCTATTGCAGCTGCCCACAGGACTTCATTTCTTTGCATCTCTTTGTCCGGGCTTCTTCCATCTTGTGTCTTGGACTATTGCTTGAACTTGTGGTCTTCAACATGTCTTCTAACATCTTGCTTGAGGTGTTGGTCATATGGATCATCATATTGCCTAAGTCCAAGTCCACTTTGCATCCTTTGAACTAAATCCAAAAATACTAGCAAACAATATTAGTCCCAATGGTCATGTTGATCATCAAACCCCAAAATCCAAACTAAATAGCTCATGGGGTCTATTTTTCTTACATGTTTGACGAGGGTTGATGTGTCCGGTGGTTTAAGCACTCAAAACACTTAGGGACACGGGCGATTTATCCTGGTTCGGGCCTTTGTGCCCTACATCCAGCAGTATGGTGTTCTTTGTGTTCGGAATGCTCAATTGAGAGTTCTTATAATGGAGGGATCGAGAGAAAGGGAGATGTAGGGAGTAGCGCTAAGCTGATCTAGGGTTTTCTTGGACTTTGGTTCGAGCATTGATTGTGTTCGGCAATACTCTGATTGATTCAGGTGCGCTGATTGTGTTCGGCTATCCTCTGATTGATTCGGGTCTTGGATCGGGGGATCTCTTCTCCTCTACAGGAGCCTATGCCTCCCCTTATATACCAAGGAGGGCATGAGAGTACAAATAGGGGCTTCTTGCTCTGGGCTTCGGTTTCCTTCTTCTTGGCGCCGCCGGTCCTTTGTCTTGTAGCTAGGGGCTGACAAAACTATAACCACTCCCTGATGTCTCTACTATAGCCTGGCGCTTGACCACCAGGTGTTGTCTGCTATAGTGGATCCTTCCTCGGGTAAGCCTTCTCCTAGCTTCCTTGGCACGCAAGGCCTTCCCCAGCCTGGAGAGCTCGTGAGCAAACCCCAAGCCCTTCACCCGTGGGCTTGGGGAGTTCCTGTCCTAACGCGTCATGCCCGGGCGTGACCTCGCCAAGGAGTGGCCGACAAAGCCTTGCAAATGAGTGTTGCTTTTGCGCCTATCAAGTTACGAAGCGCATGATAGATTCTGGAGTGGGCATCTGGCCTAGCTCGGGGCGATTCTTCACCCTCGAGCCAAAATTGGGATGGTTGCATGGGCAATGCCTCACTAGGGATCTTCTTGGGTGTTGTGGCCAAGCCTCCGAGCCCCCGAAAGCGAGGGCGTCGTGAATGGGGGTTTTGCGGTCTCGCTTGTCCTTCGATATCGGTGTCTCCCTTGGGGAGGCCACCACCCCTCCGACCGAGCAATGCATAGAGCGATCTAACTCCATCGCCACGTAACACCCACACGCCGAGACCATCATTAACCACCGTCACGCGCTCTTGCACCACGCCGTTGCTACCGACCTACACCGCCAAGCAGCCACGAGGCCGTGCCCCACCACCGCAGGCACCGCCCCCTGCCCTAGGGGCACCGGATACGGACGCCAGGCCTCAAACCTAACGCCCCATGCCGATGTTGCTGCCTTCGTCATCACCACTACCGCAGGCGCCATTCCACAACTCCGCCGCCATATAAGCCGCCCGCCAGAGGCCACCCAAAGATGTCGGGACGCGCAGACGGGAGCCAAGGTGAGCCGCCACCTAGGGCCGCCAGATCCGCCACCGTGGGCGAGCAAGCCCAGATGGCCGCCCGACCCGGCCATTGTCGGCCCTTGGTCGTGACCGCCGCCCGAGATCCGACCACCGCGATGCGGCGGTGGTCACGGCCACCTTGCAGCGCATGGGCATGGGTCTGCACTGTACACACTGCTTCGGCGGGCGCCACACGACCCGTGATTTACGACCTAGGAGCGTCGCTGGTACGCAGACCGGGCCCCGCTCTCACACATCACCACCGACGGCCACAACTAACTCCATGCACAGAGAAGATAGATCCGAACAAGGGGGCCGGATCTGAATCTCGATCGCCGAGAGAGCGAGAGCGAGCGCAAGAGGGAGGGAGGGAGGGAGGTGGGAGGGAGGGAAGGAGAGGGAGAGAGAGGGGGGGTCGGCTAGACAGTGGAGGCGTGGAGGAGGGGCCTTGCAGCGGCAACAGAGACACCGCCCGAGCAGAGGGGGGAGCAAACAGTTCCATTCTGTAAAAGGTCGAACTCCTTTACCTAAAAGTATCGGCACATTTCTCGAACTGACCATAGGCATGGTTCAGTTTCCTTCGGCGTAAAAGTAGCCAAACCATATATCGGTTCCAACACACAAAATACTGCCGCCTACGTCCAGAAATACAAAGGGATTCTGGCTATTCAAGTGAACAAAAGCTTGTCCAAGAGCCCAGAACTCCAGGTGAATAGCCAAAATTCCTTGTATTTGGGGACGGAGGTAGTAGCTCTTATGCAAAAGCCATTTAATATGTTGCAGAAACATTGTAAAAGTACTTATGAGCCTGCATTGTCTAAGAGCAAAAAAAGAGGCCATTATGGTCTTGTTTAGTTTCTCCCCCTAAAGTTTACTTCCTATCACATCGGATGTTTAAACACATACATGGAGTATTAAATATAGACTAAAAAATAACTAATTGCACAGATTGCGACTAATTTATGAGACGAATTTTTTAAACCTAATTAATCCATGATTTGACAATATGATACTACAGTAAACATATGCTAATGATGGATTAATTAGGCTTAACAAATTCATTTCGGAGATTTCTAAGGACTTCTATAATTTATTTTATTATTACTATCCGGGCACTCCCATATGACACCCCGACGTGATATCTCTAAACTTTACTCTCTGAATTTAAGCACACCTATATTTGTTAGACAACATGTTAGTCAACGGATACGTTAGGAACATCATGTCAACTCAAAACACATAGCAACGTAACATGAATTATGATGCCGAGTGTAAGAAAATGTCAATTTTCCCACTATGCCTTGCTTGATTCCTATGTTCTAACTCCTGATTTAAAAGTCTACGATTCTTGCAGCAAAATGGTGTGGTCATCTACAGATGGTCTTCGATGAGAAAGATTAGTGACAAAAAAAAATGATTTCTTTTCCTCCTACAGCAATGGTGCAGGAACAACTAGGAAAAACTAACAGCTTTCATTTCCAAATTTTATCCAAAATAGCTTTGACACAACAATCCTGCAGGGAAGACCAAGTAGATTGTTCAGTTTGGCAAACATCAATAGTAAAAAGGTTCACATGGATTGACCACATGATCAAATGCACGGATGCCCAGCCATGTAGAAGTATAACCAACATAATTGAACTATGACAGTTGGTAATTTGTTTTACAGCTTTATGGCGATAGGATATTCACAGCACTCCTCTCAACCATGATAATGCACATTACACAGTTACAAGCAAGCCACTCAACTCTCAGTATTATGGAAGCACGACAGCATGGCATTTCAATCATCTTTCTGATGTAAAGCACGAGGTAGACTATTACCATTCAGTGCAGCATGGTACACTCGCTTCTCCGCCAGCCCAAGGTCTGAAAGAATCAAGTTTCCCTGAAAAGAAGAAGTCAAGATTTCCACATGGTATTTACCGTAATACCAAAAACTTGTACAGCAATACTATTCCATGCTATTAAACATTTTTAAACGTCGGAAAGAATTAAGATACCTCCACTGCCATCAATTTCCGTACATTATTTGCATAGAGCTTAGGATCATCCTTTTCTTGCTCAGAAGGATAGTAAACAGGTAAGTGGACCACCTCTAGATAATTTACAAATTGACAGAGGAGCAGAAATACATGACGTGCCTGCAAATTTTTCAAGAGAATTCAGCAAACTTAAATAGATACGAGAACATTAGGTAATTTTAGTAAGTGACACATAGACTGTTCCCAAACAGAATTTCATTCTTAAACTAGTTCAAAAACTTCAGAACAACCGCCACACGGCACTCAAACTGTCAAACATGACAGATGTACTATACGAACATTGAGAAGAAAAGGAACTACAGCTGTCTCATCAACTTTAATAAGTGTTTTTCCTTTTATTTTTCTCAAATACACAGGAGAGCCGTGTATCATGATATATCTATCCCTAATATTAAAGAGCAAAAGGTTTCTTCGTCCTTTATTGCTCACAACCGTCCGATGGGGATCCGACAGACTCAATCTCTCTCGTGCCTGTACAAGTTGAGTAGCACGTCCAAGCACAGTGCAGAATCCGATTCCAAAACAAATTGATATACGAAGTGTTTCCATGGTCTGCCACTCTCTTGTGCCCGTATGAGTTAAGTGTTGAGACATGGTATGGAGTCCAATCCCAAATGAATTAGAACACACGACACGGTCATCGATAAATCTCTAAACCTCCAGTGCCCATACAAGTTAGAGCAGCACGTGCTGTGCCCAGGCACATTAAAGAGTTCAATTCCCAGACGAATTGAAACACATGGCATGAAAGCTAAATATGTCTCCAAGCCGCAAGTCGTCTAGATAACCATACAACAAGGTGAACGTCCCTTTGCAATGCACCGGTATGTTTGCTAGTCAAATCAAATAAAAATAAGAAAGGAGTCTAAGAAGACTCATACAGGCCCATTAGGGCAAGTTCTGGTACAAAGGATCACCAAGTGAGGATAAAACTATGAGCACAACACTAACAAAGCTCCTATGGCCAAATCACCCAAAGCCCTTTGGCCCCAACCATACACCATAAATGGGCCTCATCCCTAATGTTAGAGTGCCAATCTTCTCTGTATTATTTTGCATCTACAAACCAATACCATTGACGCGGATTTTAATTAAAAGGTCTAACAGTAGAAATAGTTAAACAAAAAATCAAAGGAATCCATTGTCAATATATGAGAAAGTCATAGAGGCACCAAATGGTAGTGAAATTGGGAGGGAATGGGGCAATATTTTAAGTATTTTCTAAGCCTAAATTAATCAAATCCAAATAATTCTATGGATCAGAAGTTATCATAATGAGGATGACACCATTTTTAGATGCTGTATTTCATGGTATTGTTAATGTATCTATCTACTTATTATTGGCCTTTAAATGCTAATTTGAATCAGACAAATTGCCAGTGATACTCACCCCTGACATGGACTCCCATGCTGGATTAAATCTTTTGTAAGGATATCTCAAAATGACTGGTTGAACTGGTGCCTTTGCAAGAAAAGCACCTGTTTTGAATGGAAGGAGATAATCCCCATTTGTAGTTGTGCCCTCTGCAATAGTAAATTGTAAAATTATTAGCAAGCATTAATAATGTACATAAGCAAAGCAACAGTTTGGTCTAACTATCAAGACTAGATGACAAACCCAACAAGGGAATCACAAGATTGACAACAAAAGATGATAATGCAATGATGTGCCAACAATTCAGTGAGAAGTTAAAAATATATATTCCACAAATAGAAAAAAAACATGTATTCTGGCAAATAACCTTAAACCGAAAACTCATGAGTTGGTGTCGAGAACAAGACTTAAAATCATATATGATCAGATATGAAGTTAATATGAACTTACCAGGGAAGAGTAACATCGTTGGTGCATTTTTCTGTTGATGAGCACGCTGGATTCTTTCGGTTACAGCACCTGTGTGCGGTATAGAATATCATAAGCCTAAAGAAGCAAAATGGAATCATGTATTTTGTATTCCTTACTATAGAAAACTACGCCAGATATATAACAGAAGATGCAAAAGCGTCTCTAGTAGTAGTGCATCAAAGATTAAGTCCCAACTCCCAACCAATGTCTGTATAAAGAATTTGCTAAGCCTAGTACTTGTATTGAACAAGCTAGCAATGCCATTTAATTCTCAAAATTCCTAAATCTAGTTAAACCCCATTAGATCTTTCATGACTTTTCAATTTTCAATCTTTTTGTCCATTCTTATGGTTCTTGAACTTTCGTCATTTTACTAAATCTTCTTAGATTTTTAGATGGCTATGAAAGTAACTCCCTCCTAATTCTACCCACCCGTAAAACTTCCATGTGCGAAGGATGGTATTATCCCATCAAAACAGGGTCATCTATTTGTAGAATATTCTATCAGAATAAACAAATTAAATAGTTTGTGATGAGATTCTACATCAAATGGACACTATAGTTTCAGGAGCATGGATGGAATTTAACAGTAGACATTAATCAACTAGCGGAAGGTTCAGTGCAGAATTTCCTGGCCAAAATTTGGTAGACAGTAGTACCTTATTTTTCCAAACATACTCAAGTTTTGACAATGAGAAAATAAGAATTTATCCTCAAAAGCCAAGAAAAAAGACAAACCATGTTAGTTTAAGACTATGGAAATCACCTGAAACACCTTTGAAATCTGATGTTTTCGACTCCCGCTGAACAAAAATGCATCCAAGACATTTGCTGCATGATAACATAACACATGTCATTTTTTTCAATTGATCTTACACGAAGTAAATACAAGTAAACATTTGACCAGTTAAACTATCTACCACAATATCATGTTACAATTTCTGGTAGAAAACTGAGCGAAAACATAACTCCAAAGACAGTAGAGAATGCTAGTACCTTATGAGACCAACTAGAGGCAATCTGGCCACTGATCTCTTCAAGAAGGATAGAGATATGCAAAAGAGACATGTCAAAATCAATATATTTTAATGGCAAAGTTTTGAGAAACCATATAAACAATTACATTATCACAAAAATTTTACAGTACCTTTGCAACAAAACTAGGAAAAGAGGCTGACATGTGATAAAGAATATCCACATAAGATACATGATTAGACACAATTGCCCCAGGCCTTAGGATTTCTTTAGACTGGTCCACATCGTCATCCTGAAATATTAATGAATTACGATAGCTGGAGATGACATAGACACAAAACCAGCCATATATAATATTCATTCCACTCATCATTCAAACCCCCCAAGTAGGATTCACCTGTAGTCAGTCAGTAAAGGCTAAAATTACACCGATACTATTTTCTGCTACAAATGATGACCATGCTACACAACCACCACAAGATTTATCACATTATCATTAAATTCTGATGTCTGAGGAACTTCAACCCCAGAACACAAATACTTCCCCAACATCTGGAAACATTTTAGCTGCAAACAAACACATGGGATCACAATGTGGCAGATGGGGAAAACAAACTAGCAAATCTTCCATGCAAGTTGATAGATGCACCTATGCTCAATGACAGGGTGCACATAAATTTAATCAGTCTACACATCCACTTTCTCATCCACACAGGAAAAACATGCTGCCCACGAACAAACACCAAAGCACCCAGGCTAATAGCTATCATGTATCTTGTATCAAATACTGTCAAATATTACACTATCCAACTCTTCCCTTGCTCAGGAATCAAGAGCAAAGAAGGCAAGCAGAAAATAAACAATCAGAAGCTTGCATATATAGAACTAGAACTAATCATCGTCACTACCTCTGCATTGGGGAAGCGGCAGTCGTACTCTCGGATCCAGTAGAATCCGAAGACGAACAACATGGCGCGAGCGAGTGCGCGGCCGCACCGCACAACCCCCGCCCGCCTCCACCCGTCCAGCCGCGCGTACCCCTCCCCTTCGCCGCCCTCCCGCTCCTCCTCCACCCGCAGCGTGCACACGCGGCACACGAGGTAGTAGACCACGAGTACGAGCACGCCTGCCACGACGCGGAGCGGGACCAGCACGACCGCGGCAAACGCCAGCCGCGCCGCCTCCGCCGCGCTCACGGGGCCGAGCCCCATCGGCCCGTACGCGTCCCGCCGCGCGTACGGCGCGTACCTCCGGTCCAGCTCCTCTATGCTCTCCAGCACCGGGGCTGCGGAAGCCGCGGAGGGGGAGGGGGAGGGGGAGGACGACGAGAGGAGCGGCCTGGCGGCAGCCGTGTCTTCGCTGCTCATCTCACTGCCGCCCACGCTCTCCGGCTCGGACGGGGTGGTGACGTTAGCGGCTTCGTTAGGAGCCATGGCAATGAAGGCGAAGAGGGAACCCTAACCCTAGCGCTGACGCCGGATCGGCATGGTGAAGACGACGAGATGGAGATGCGGTCGGTGGTGACTTGTGCGACGAGGAGACGACGACCAGACGGTGGCGGGAGAGGAGGATGAACCACTGAATTTTGATCCGACGGCTAGGATCTGCTGGGAGTTGTTTGATTAGTTTTGGGCAACATGGTGGTGATGATTATTAACTGGCTATTTTGATCAGCCGGCGGTTATGGGAGGCACCCAAACCCATGCTCATACGTGTGGGTTTTGTTTTCTCCATGCTCATACGCGTGAGCTTTGTTTTCTAACTAGCCGAGCTCTAACTCCCTCTTTTTCTTACCAGTGCCCATGCTAACGGCACAGCTTCATTTCAGGGATACATATGAAGATAACCAAACTACGGTGGTACTAAGTCACATAAATAGATTCCAATTCATTGCATTATTTTCAGTATATTATAGAAATTTGTCCTATACATACGCCATTCAGATAATGTGTATTATACAGCTAAATTTAACAAAAAAAAATTAACAGAAACATTTAGCCAGCTATAAAACATAAATTCTCAATTCTAGCTACCGCTATCGATCTGCCAATGTTGTCTTCTCACTTCAGGTGATGTCCAGACATCAAAAACATTCGACTGACCTTTTGGACCTGCAATGGCTATCAGTACTACAGATTAGTGAAAACAGAATGAGGTTGAATTAAAAACGACAAGCTTAGAAGCTTAGACAAATGAACACTCAAATCGCCATCATCAGCACAAGCTCGATGTGGTAGTGCACACACCCACTCCCAAAGGCAGCTATATCTCCAGTCGTGAACCAACTCTTGCTCGCACATTTTTTCTGTCACACAGGGGAATACTTGTTCACCGTGAGAAACAACCTACACAGACAAAAATTATGAGCCTATGACTTCTGTTCCATAGATTAACTGAAATCAAGAAACCACACTTTTTGAGAACTTGAAAGCCAAATTATAAGCAACACAACTTGAGAGAGAACTCATACCCAAAGAAACTGCTGTAGATCGAGATGCATTTTTTGGGAATCTCTTGCCATCCAGCAAAAGTTTCCTCAGAAAGTGACCACCTGCATCAAGCACAATCTGCTCATAAATAAAGAAAGCCAAGTCATCTGAAATGGTCTACTTTGGAAACTCTACATACATTAGGATCATGATTCATGACATTGCAGGAATACAGGTAACAGAGTCATCCTCAAAGTTACATTCAGCACCTGCATTCAACAAATTAAAACTGTCTGGATTTGTCGTTCTAATGCAAATCAACAATCGCACCTATTTGACAAAGACATCTATCTCACAAAAGCATACCAACCCCACCCTCCTAACAAACCTTGCAAGTCTTTTTTATGATAAAACTTCGTATGCAATCAACAGTCAAATTATCTAACACCACTGATTAGGACCACAGGAATCCTAGTTAGAATGCATTGATCTAATTCTAGCACATTGATCTGAGTTCATGCAGCAAGAGGTCAGCATTTTCGCCGTCACCAACCAATCAAAGAAGAGTAGGTTAGCAGCAAGCGAATACATTTATCCAGGATTTCCGTATGATTAATGAATGGGAGCTTTACGCAGCAAGAAAGCGATCTCCGACCGGTGCATTATATACTGGTAGAGACTCATTCGTGGAGGTATTCGAGACCTTGTATGGCACAATCTCCAAGAAAGGGTAGGATGAGCTTTAGTAGAACGGGTGGGTCATCCAAGCTTTTGTTGGGCATGTACTTGTAGAGAACAACAGCATGTGCTTGCCTGCTTCTGAATCCAAGAACACCCATGAATTAGACTTCAGCCAGCCACTGGATACGATTCTTTTTAAGAAAAAGAAACTCCAATAAGCATGCTTATTAATGGACACAGCACAACACTAATATTTTCATCCTGGCTAGCCATATGCCAATGGAGCAACATAAACTTGGAAAAAAAATAATGACATGCATGTTTAAATTCCCCTTTGTAAATTAGTCAGTACATGCACCCTCTTTATGGATTTCAGGATTTGTGAAACTGACTGGATTTGGAAGAACAGTTACTATCCCCTCTTCAGCCGAACAGAACTAAGCTAGCAGTACAGTCCCATTAACTAATGCCACACTACAAATCAACAGACGAAATTCCAATCAATTAAGAACTGAATGATATGTGTGTAGCACAAAGTAAAGATTAGTTTCAATATTTATTTAGCTATCAAAATTGTCATCTGCACATATGTTCAGGTTTCATACAATTTTTTGTATTGCATAAAAAATTGAACTGGTTAGCTGAAAAACCCAAGATGATTGGCCTAAACAAAACGCAATCTGCTGCAACTAAACAAAGAAGATACAGGCTAGCCGATTAGCTACTTACCTGTTCACTTTATGCAATACTGGTGCCGACGGACTTGGCTGAGCTGAGGTCCTGAACTCAGCTTTCTCTGTTGCTACGATGTTTACCAGAAAATTGGAGCAAAACATTTCTGTTAAAAAGTTCTAGTTAGCCGTCTTCATATTAAAAACCATAGAGCTCCACACATAATCCAATAATTAGAATAACGTCAAATTCCATATTCATTCACGTAAATAAAAGTCAAAATGCAAATCATGATATATCTGTGTCAATTGATATATAAACCACAGAGCACAATTGATATTTATTGCTTGGAAATGGTACTGCAGATGTTTAAACCAACATATTACACCATTTTAATTGGGATTTTCTTCCATCATGGAGTAGTCCTTCTAGTGCTTTGTAAAAAATTTTCTTAAGTTGGTCAGCAAGCTCTTTGCTGGCTCAGTGTGATATGAAAGTTTTAAAAAACTGCCAGCATATCCTAGAACTTTGACAGGCAATATATAATTTTAATCGCAGTGTTTCTATGTAGCTTACCACATTGTTGGTCGCCACAATGATCTTGAACTGAAACCTCTTGATTTAGATCTCCAGGACGATGACTGCAAAGCTGGAAATTTCATTCAGTGATCCATGCTTAATGGCAGAGTTCAATGCAACGTTCCCATGCACTCCTTTTTTTTAAGGAAATTTCCATTCAGTGATCCCTCCCCTCTCATGAGCTAGCCGCATACCATGCCTATGGCCATGAGCAAGGTCGTTCCCGATTTCCCGTAACAAGCAGCAGTGAGCACCCCTTGGCTTCAGACAAGGAAAGAGCTTAATAGGGCTAGAGCATTGCAAAACCAGATCATTGTTATGTGCCACTCCTAGCTGAATACAAAAAAGAAGGAAAAGGACTTCCCTGACAATTGCTCTAGCACCCTGAGAATTCATTTTCCTAGTTCGGGTCTGGACCTGAAAATAAAGAAGTTTAATTACATGTTAAAGTAGCATAAGCAAGTCGCTACAAATAATGGATAACACTATTCAGCTCTGGTAAAGTGGTAATAATAAAATAAAATGAAAATACTGGACGGGCATGCCAGAGTTTATACCTTTCCAGGTCCTTGACCTTGCTTTGATAAACTCTCAACTTTAGTGTCATACTTCATGACCTGAAGCATTCTAGTTTTTCCTCCAAAAATAAACCATGTGCAAACTCATGAAGAATAATCCCAAGCTAGTATAATTTAGAGATATCGAGACAAAAAAATTGGAATGAAATATGAAAGAATATTAATGAACCAAATAAAACAATAGGTTAATCTGAATTGAAGAAATACATACCAATTGTAAATGGCCCTGACCAGTATCAATGAATTTGACAAAATTTAACATTTCAGAGTTGCATTGGTTTGTGGTTCTTATTTGCAGTGGAGTAAAGTATCAATCTATAAATAGTTCTAAGCAGAGCAAAAAAAAAAACACAAACAAATCATGAGACACAGGGTGCTCACGTATCAAGAAGTATGATAAAAATTCAGACATTTTACTTGGGGTCAGAACCACTGCTAACACAGAGCTGTCAATAGAATGTATGCAAGATCCCAAGCTGATTTAATATGCAAAACACACTGCCTATCTCCCAGATCTAATGAATTTCGCCCCCCATCCTGAGAACTGATTCAACTGAATGAGCACGTGCATGGGTAGAAATGAGCAAACAGTCCCTGCACTGCTTCCAGGAATTTTAGTGGGGGGAGGGAGAAAGGAAGGACCTTGTGCTGCTTCTGGGAGAGGAACTACGTTGCGGAGATGGGCTGCGCCCTTGCCGTGGTCGCGGGCTTGCTGGCGGCGTGCTGTGGTGGGGGATTACACTCGGCTTCCGCTCCCACGGGTCCTGGTCCCGCGCGGCGCAAGAGAAACGCGACGAAGACGATGGCGACGAAGAAGGCGGCGGCGGCGGCGGCGGCGACTATCCACTGGAGATAGTCCACCTTCTCGAACAGCAAGAAACGCGCGAGCCTGGATCTCGCCCGCAGAGCTGAGCCGCTGACAGCCGGCGACTGGCAGCCCCGCGCTCGCGGCCCTGCAGCCCGGTCCGGCGGGCGACGGCCCCGTGCGGCCCCTGCGGTTGGCCCCGCGCCGGCTCCTCGCTAGGGCCAGGCGTGGCCAAGCGCGGCTTCCGAGCCCCTGTGGCCGGCGATCCAGCATGCACGGCCGGCGGCTACCGCTCGTGCGGTGTTGCGATGCCGATCTGGAAGAGAGAAGAGGATGATGGGGAGAAGAGGGATCGGCATCAGCACGACGGGCAACCGAAATCAACGCGAGCCTGCAGGCGCACGCGCGTGGGAGGTCCGCGGGAGGGCAGACACACTGAACCTAAGCCGTCGAGAATAGCTAATAAGCCGTCGAGAATAGCTAAGAGATAACATGGTGTATCTATTTTAATGGTGTTATATTTTCTAGATGTATTCATAAGTGTGGATATAGTATAAGTTATGACTGTAGAGCAAGCATTTGTTGTGTGGCTATAAATTTATTCTAACTGATGTATTATAGGGTAAGGTAGACTAGCAAACATGCTCATACGTTGTAACTGGATTTATATCTTATGTCATTTGTTTTTA